GCGACACTGAATTAATTGTCTTCTAGGAACTTTCTTTGAAAAGTTGAAACTGTCTTTGATGATTGGTTGTTATTGGTGTCGAAAGTTTAACTTTGACTGAATATCTTGTTTCTGTCCAATTACTGGGTGCCAGAGCGAATAACGTTTGGGTACATCATCATAGAGTGAACCATTCGAATGATTCCATCGACCCTGTCATACTCATAATAATTTCATCGAAGATTTCCGGGGAAGACTGAAAAATAGAATCTGAGCTATCAACGGATCACAAAACGAAGTTATTTTCAGTCATTTGAATGAATATATGTATAGAAATTGGTTTAATTTAAAAACTGAAACTCCTCTTAATAATTGGAACATTTTTTATCTCATATTAGAGAAAAGTACCCTGTTTGATTTTTTTCATGCTTATTTATGTAAAAATACGTAAAATGTTTTGCAAAAATCATCCTTTTTTCTGATTAGTTGGTTCAAGGTCACTTGTGCGTTCGTTCCTTGGGACTCCATTGTAGAACTTTGCCCCAAGTCTTATTCTTTCTGTTGAATGCAAAGGATTTCCAGTCTGATTTCAAGATGTGGAGATGTACCTCGCCCTTCCGATTCTGGCTCCTACGTCCTCATCCGTTCCGCATGTAACTGAAGCAGTGCCACCCGGACAAGTGAGGGAGAGTGATTAGTGATTTTGTTGGTTGGTTTGTAAAACCAACCACCATCATCACCTCTGTCTTCTCTGTGTTCACCTGGAGTCCCAACTTTTCTGCTTATTTTACCAGCTTGTTGGTTTCGCCCGTAGGTCTTCGAGCCTGTGTTGTATAATACATAAATTATATGCGAAGTTCATATCTTCTAGAGCCATCTCGCCTGTTCAGCTTATTTCTGCCTTCTTTTTCCTCACACACAGTGTTCCTCATAATCTAGTCCACCACAAGCAGGAATATTGTCGGTAACAGTACACATCCTTGCACTGCTCTTGTCATCACTTCAGATGCCTAGCTGAGTTTTCCGTTACGGATCACCTGACATGTGGCATTGCCATATAGCCGGCCGTTGAATGAGGTTGATAAAGATTTGGGCATTGTACACCGTAGTGTTGAAGTGGTTTCCAAATGACTTCTCGGTCAACACTGTCGAAGGCCTCTTCGAAGTCAACGAAAGTGGGGTAGAATTTTGACTGCCATTTTGTACTTTGTTCGATGATGATACGCACAGCTGAAATTTAACGGGTAAATAATTTCTCATTTCCGAATCCAGCCAGTTCCAGTTGGCAGACATCTGCATCCTGTTCATCTTTTATTCCCTTCATGGCAACACGATCAATATTTTGTTTGATGTGGACAAGAACATAATTCCGCGCCAGTCCTTTAGGAGGCATAAGTTGCCCTCCTGTCATATTTCGGCAAGATAGCTCTTCCCATAATCAGCAGGTACCTTACCTTCCAAATCTTTTGGATGTATGGCGTCAGCATATCTGCTGCAGCCTGTGGATCAGTTTTCGGTGCTTCGAGGGGAATTCTGTCTGGCCGTGTTGACTGCCCGAACGCCGTTAGCTTGATTGCATCTAGGATTTTTGTTTTCATTTGAGGATTTTTATCAACTGACAGTTCTCTGAGAGCTATTGTTGGTATTTCTGGACAAGATGCAGGTGATGATTGTCAATTCAAGAGTACTTTGAAGTGATCAGCCCATTGTTCGATGTGTCCTCGCTATTTTGTAATTAGGTTCCCCTGACCATATATCATTGGTTTCATCTGATTTGCTTTCTTCCCGGGTAAAGACCTGGTTATTTGGCATAATGTTCTAAGGTTCCATTAGTCTGTGGCCTGTCCGTTCTGTATCAGTTGCTTGTCAGTACATTGTAAAATTGTCTTTTGTATTTCTAAGCACCCTTCTCTCTCCATTCAGTTCAGTGTAAATTGAAATCGGCTTCTCCTTCTGTTGTTCATCCTTGCATTGGTTCATCTATCCCACCATCCTGCTCCCTTCTATTAGCTTCCAGGCGTCCGTTGAGAGTCATATCTTTTCTTGTCTCTTCTTTCTTCCAAGAACAGTCATACACGTTTCCTTGGACATCGCTTTCAGAAAGGCCCAATCTTATTCCACACGGGTTTCCCCGGTGATGCCACGTAGTGTCTTCGACTTTGCTCCGATGGTTGTGGTGAAAGTATCTTTCGTAATTCCGCCTTTCAGTTTCCGAGTGTTGAACTTGTACTGCGGACTATTTCTTCTTCTACGAAATCTTTCACCTTGATCGTGATAATTCATCACACTAGATGATGTTCTGAGCCCACATCTGCTTCCTTTCTCGACTTCGTGCCTAGCATATTGTGCCTCAACTTTCTTGAGCAACATTAGGATGATGTCTGTCTGGCTTTTGGTGTGTGTCAAGCGAAATCCATGTAGCCTTGTGTGTATCCTTGTGCTGGCGTGCGCTACCTCCAATCATCAAATTACTGAACGCTTGGAAGTCCACGGATATTCCTCGGTCTTCATTCCATTCACCGAGAACCTATTGATTCATGATGAGTTATCTCGTTGCGTTATATTCTTCCAGTTTGGCACTCAGGCAACCCATAGGAAATTTTATGTTAACATTTGGGATACTGTCCATTACTGTTTGCATTTGTCTACAGATAATAATAACCATTTATTTCTGGAGCAGAAATAAGTCATTTATACGGGCGTGAATACAAGTGCAGTCATAAGAACTGATAGAATATACGATATGGTTTGTAAATATAAATTTAGATTGAATACTGATTTATGCGAGAGAAATTATGAAAAAGGCACAAATAACTAGATGAATAATTTTTGTAATCTCCTTTGGACGGAATAAGTCGTAAGATATAGCGTTAAATCTTAATTTGCTAGGCTCATTTAAATTCTCTGTTTTACAATTCTATTCCATATGCTCTTCTATCAGACAGCCAAACCGTAGTTGTTTCTGTTTGGCGAATTCGACTCTTTCCGAAATGGACATTTCAAGGAAATCAGTACATTATTGCAGTGGATGTGAATTACCACAAGTAAGACATCCCTCTGGTTTTACAATACTTTGTAAGTATTTCATGGTAAACTGCTTCCCCTTACTTACGAATCTGTCAGCTCCATTTTTGAGGTGTAGGATGCTAGGGAGTTTAGTGATTGTTTGTTCCATGCGCCTTGAAATATCATCAGATTTAAGCTGAACATCCTACTTCGATAAACAGGCGATGGTTTTGGCCCACTTTTCCTGTAATTGAGTAGGTAGACATCCGAAAATTTCCTCAATGGCAGAACTCGGATTCGAAGCGCCCATTCAGTTCAGAGACATGGAGGTACTTTTACAGGTCATCGAGTTATCCAAATATATGGCAATATCCTAATGGTCATCGCTTGACTGCTGACTATTACCTTTGAAAATGTCAAACGCGGACTTAGATATCAGGGATGACCTACTGAACCAATTGACTGAATATCCAATGAATGCTCACCTTCAGTGATACAAGCATTTGATGAAAATGTGCACCGAGTTATTGAGAATGCTCTCGATGACGTAGCCATTTTATCAACAATTGGAAGTACTGACTTGACACTGACGTTAAAAATCCAGGCATTGTTTCTTGTGCTAACTGCTATGAATCTCCACGCGGTTTTCAAGTCGACGAATACCTGTAATGATTTCCCGAATTTGGCAGCATTTGATATCATCGTGCGTGCACTCTATAGTCGAAATGACGCCAACTGGGAAAACGAAACAAGTGACTTCCTCCATACTCCCCCCTTTGATACTGGACGGTGCTTGTGGTTGTTAGTCGGGTGTCTCCGTCAGCTTTATCTTCTCTCTGTCTCGTCTTCGCTGCCTCTTCCGCCAACCTGTTGGTTTAAACTCGCAGTTCTTTACTTTTGCACGACATAAGACACAAGTCATCTTGGGGGGCCAGATCTCCCAGGGACCTCTTGTTGGTCCAACTTATGCCAACAATCTCACTCCCCGAGGCCAGTAGCCTCATTAAGTTCACCACAGTCAAGATAGTCTGGGATATTAGATGGCCCTGTTCCATTCCTTTCCTCACTTCAAACACTTCACTTAGCTTCCCTCTGTGAATTCTTTTGCATATGGAACCATCATGCAGCTTCTGAACATGAATCATAATTATTTGCAGCATTGTGCTTTGCAGTGTTGAAGTATTCGCCAAATCCCCTCGCGTCCGACACTGTCGAAAGACTTCCCAAGGTTGACGAAGCTGGAGTGCACAGTTGACTACCACTCTAGATTCTGCTCAATTATGTTACATATTGTTGCGACTTGGTCCGCGTATGACCCATTCTTCCTGAACCTAATATGTTCCAGAAGATGTCTTCCGTTCATGGCGTTTTCTACTCGTTCCAGAATGATGCACTTTAATGTTTAGTTTAGGGTGGACAGGAGTGTTATTCCTCACCAGTTCTTGCTCAGGCTCAATTTGCCACTCTTTGGCACTTCTGAAGCTCAAGATGTCTTCAAATTTGTTAATAAGGTGAAATAAAATCTACCAAAATTAATGCGTTTACACGTATCTGTATTGCTGAAACTTTGACCATAAGAAAATCCGCAGCCACTTATAAAGAAGGTAACTCAGCCTGTCCTTCCGTGTTTTCAGTCCTTTGCCGTTAGGAATCATTCTATTTCTTCCGTTTAACGCGATATCTGCTGTAGTAAATGAAATCACCCAAGATTGTTGAATTAAATATCTTCTTTCCTCTACACTTTGGGAACACTTTTGTTATACGTCAGTGATACAAGTGGCATTGACCGTAAAACACGCTGTCTGACATGTCGAATCATCGGGTTGGTTGATTCGGATCACAAGCGTACTCAACTAACTTAGGACCAAGTTCACATACTAGAGAACGATACATCACAAAGACAAATGCACAGTATTTCATATTAAAACCAGTGGCATGTAATAAATGATATAGATAGTAAAGTCGAAACACTCGAAACTGAATGCATGTTTAGCAGGCACTATAGGTATTGGACGCTTTGTTTAGTCAGTAAACACTTAGAGAGCGCATTTCAATTTTCTTCGGCATGGTAGGTTGTAACTAAGCGGCTATATGTTTTAGACCAAAATCCGTGCATCTAAGTTGCGTGGAAAGCCTGAGTCTGAGCTCCAAAAGCAGTTGGGTGAGCTGAAGACGGAACTTGGAAACCTTCGTCTCTATCGTGTAACGCGTGGTACATCCTATCATGGGAAGCTGAAAAAGATGTAAGTTTTTCTAGGATTTATAGTAATGTTTTAGCCGGACTCTTCGCAAGTCGATTGCACGCGTTTATACTGTTATGCATCAGGCTCAAAAACTACGTCAAAGAGAAGCTTATCGTTCTAAAAGATACGTTCCTAAGGATTTACGACCGAAGAAGACCAGAGCAATTCGAAGAAGACTCACTAAAAAAGAGCAGTCTATACATTCAGCACGGTCAATGCGCAAGGCGAGAGCATTCCCACGTCGTGTCTTCGCGATTAAATGCTAAATAATAAAGGTTCTGATTGGCACTTCCTCATTGTTGGTCATGTGAGTATCGGGGGTTTTCGGGTCGGCAATATAAGTATTTAAGGATTTCTACGGATTTTTTTATTTGGGTTCAGGAGTGTTTTTTGTTCTGTCTGAACACGTTCGGAAGCTTTTTACTCACTTTTCTAAATGAACATGTGCTCATCATAAGCTGTATGTCTCACCTCGCACATAAATGAATCGCAATTGGTGTCTTGTGCAAGGAATCATTTAACACAGGTACAATGTGCCACGAAGTCTTCACGATTTCTCCATTCTCTTATGGTTGAAGTCTTGCAAGCATCAAGGTATTTAATTGGCGTTGCTCACTGAAATGGCACTTCGAATTTTGTCTATGGAGAGGATGTCTTCATAGCAGGAATAGCAGAGTTTTGCAAACCCCACTTATTACATAGACCAAGCATATTAATATCAGGAGTTGCTTGCTTATAGTGCTGTCATACATAGTATGAACGTGGTTGGTTAGTATAGGTACGTTCACCAAGATAACCTAGGTTATCGTATGCCGCCATCCCAATAGGTGAAGATCTGCACAGTTTTATTTCGACTTCCCACTATGTATGGCCTGAGGTTACGTTTCCCGTGTTTTCGTGTAGATCAGTTTTTTGAATATCAGTTGATTGGATGTTGCTAATGACCCTGTCCTCCCGTAAAATACATACGCTTATCAAGCAAATCTAAGTTTCGGTTTCTTCAAATGTAATTCCAGGAAAAGGTACTTACTGATTCAAAGACCATATTTGTCTGATCATTCATTCATAACAGTGTTAAGCAACTTAAAATTGCCCTAGGAGTACTAGGTAACTGGCATAGTTTTTTCTCCTTGTATTTAGGATAACCAAGAAAGGAGTATTACATGTATCGCGCCGTCTTTGCCTCACCACCCGCAGCCCTTTCTAAATAATTCATCTTTAGTAACGTAGCTTGCCAGGGAAGAATGTGGAACCTTGCATTGGCACCGAAACCAAGTTGTCATCAGTCCCTTTAAATGTCCTTTCGAAACATTCATGTATGTTTAGAATGATAAACTGCTATATGTTCATTTATACTCAAAATTAGGATATAAGGTACTTCGCTGCAGTGTTTGCGAATAATAACCTCAATTATGGCCACTTTGGTAGAATGATAAGCTTAAACATTCTAGATGAATTGTTTAGTATTTTTTTAGGTTTCTGTATCAATGTGTGCAACTAGCACATATTGCTTTGACAATGTTAAAAATTATAACTGACTATCCGGAATATACCACATGCAAAACCCTCTGGTCATCACAACACTCAAGCTCAAACTTGAGCTGTTGTTTGTCTCCATAGCATCGTGCATCCAAATGAAATCTCGTTGCTACTCCTTTTTCTGTACACTCATACATGTTGTGGAACTCCTAATATTATTTATTTACCCAAACCTTTCTAGGGGAAGCGTATTTGAGAATTATAACCCACCAGGTAAAAGGCAAAAAACTGAATTATTAGAACGCTACCACAAACTTGACTGGCGTCGGTGGCACAGTGGTAGAATGCTTGCCAACCACGCAGGTGGTCTGGGGTTCGATCTCCGGCCGACACACCTTTATCTGTCTAAGACATCAGTTAAACTGGCAAAGGGAGAAAGGTTGGGCATGAGGCCAGCAACCCCACCCTGTGAAAATAATCATCACCGCCACCAGAACTTCAAGCATCTAGCTTAAAACCCCTATGTTACACTGGGAACCTAAAGGAATGAAAAATAAACCACCACACAAGGCAAGTCTCTGACACATTCACAAAGTGGCTTAATTTTATGGTGAAACTTAATCATGGGTACTATGTAACGGAGTGTATATAAAAACTTTCTAAAAAACCAATCAGCGTAACAACTACCCGATTGTAATAGATAGTACATTTTGAGGATTTCTTACCCTACATAATCAAGTTCAATTCAAGAGTTGGTAAACGTTTCGATTTGCTACCGAGATAGCCCGTAGCTTTGTCTGTGGTTATATCTTGCTTAGTGTTTTAGATTCAAAGGAGTGATCTCCAGTTTCGTCAACTGATACCATGTATATCGCACTCTAATTATATTAGACCAAGTGATATTGTTGAGAATCGGGAAATACAATATAAGTTGTATGGCACAGGTATGTGTATATGCATCATTTTGAATATGGAAATATCCGAAACATGCAGAGGCAATAATTAAGCATTGCTTTTCTCCAGTTCTGGTTCTCCGATCTAGCAATTGTCAACTTTTCGATATCACTATTTGGATATTGTTTCCAATACACTGGTACAACGAGTTTATCTCACCTGAATATTATGACATACCTCGTAAGATGATGATAACTTTACTTGACAAAGTACCTGCACAAAACAATCACAACGAACTGTTAAACCCTGAATTTTTGAGCTCCATACACTTATTTAAACGATCCTAATAATTCTTTATCACGTTAGGTGGAAAAATATTAGAATAATAGGGATGAGCCGTTACAAAGAAGACTGAAGACGAATAAAGTGACATGAACTAGCATGGCTTTTATTATGCACAGAAAGAAATATAATCTTTTTTCATTAGCTTCTGCTGTCTGTTCTTCAAATGTCTTGCAGTACCACGTGTTAGTTTATTCCATATGACTCAGAGCAGTCATTAACAGAATGTGGCCTGGTCTTGTGACTGCAAGCTGACGATCGTTACAAACCTTCCTAGTCTACTCAGTTTATTGGGCTAAGCTGTATCAAATTTTTCATAACAAATTCCCCAGGCACTTATGTCAGTAAAACTTTGCAACCTCACCAAGTGACTTACTTAAGCTGTCAGATGGGTATTGCTACTTCCCATAAAGTGTTTTGAAAGAATTACTAACCAAATTACTTATAGCTTACTAAGCCTTCTGACGGTCGTTTTTCTCCTCTGTTCTTAGTGGAATTTGAACTAATTGCCCAGTATTCTGGTTGGTCGTCTTTTAGTGTATCTGAAGTGTTTACTTGTTATGCATACCTGAATTCCATGATAGAGTAAATTTATTTAATCGAGATCTACTCTTCTGCAGTGTTCGAGTTATGTTCTTATATCAATGAGACGCATACCTAAACTTGTACGATAATTCGTTCAGTAGTTTTCATGAAGTCGAATTTCAAAGTTGTAGCATTTTTGAAGAGCTCAGTCAAATTAAAATAATTCGATATTTTAAGGGACCGCATACAAGGAAAAACCTGTGTTTAGTATGAATATGGTCACTAATGCCTTTACTATAAGAGTTTGTATAGGTTATTCGTACCGCATTATCTCCAAGGGTGCCGTTTCTTAGATGGCTGTGATGTGGAACCACCGGTTAGTTCCGTGGTAGAATGTTCGCTAACCATATATACGTGGTCCATGTTTTATTCCGGGCCAATGCATTCTTTAACCTCGCTTAGTTTACCAGCCGGTAATAATCTCGGAAAAGAGGGAGGATTGTGTGCTAGATTAGCAATCCCACCTCATAGAAACAACACTGCTATTAGAACTTCAGATGTAAGAGTTTTATGTTTCAATGGGAAATCAAAGGATTGAAAAAAGGCTTAAAGCAATTTGTATTCAAGCTATGGTTAGTAAACAATGAAGGTGAACTGGTGTGAACAAACTATATTGTTTCCTAGTTGTGTGTGTGTGTGTGTGCGTGTGCGAAGGGCGAATCTATATGTATAGGTAACGAATTGCATTCTAGGAAGAAACAACTGCTCAGTGCACATCAACTTCCAATAATTCTCCACCTAGCGTTGATGCATGTTGAGAATTAACTTGAAGATATAAATTTCGGATAGTAGATGTTGTGAATACTATGAGGTAGTTTGATTTCTGAGTCCGATTGAATCATCTTATAATTACGTGAAATCAACCCCAGTGTGTTTAGAATTAATGCCAATTTAATAGTTCCCACTGTAACACTAAAAATAATGCTAAGTGAAGTGACTCTTTCAAAGGATATATTATCAAAATTTACATTCGTATTTTTAGAATATTTTATAAAACTAAATCCTATGGAAAAATTTCATGACGTTAATTACGACAAAAGTATTCGTAGCTGTGATAAAAGACATACTGTGTGATAATAAAGTAGGCTATGCAATATATAAGAATGTTCATAGGATGTATATATTTTCAAATGTTCCCTTGCCAGAATTCGGACGGTTCAAGTTACATCACAGATCGACAGAAGTTAGCGAACCGCCGAAAAATAGAGGATATTGGACAGCTGTTTCTCCCCAGTTTGGGGCTTTTCAGCACACATGATCTGATCGAGGAGCGAATCTAGGGTCTTCAGGGTACTAGACGAGCCAGGTGACTATTCATCCACTGAGAGAGAATTCAGTGGTCTACAATTCTCAGTACATAACACCACTATGAGCCAACTGTCGCCGGTTTCCAATGATTCTCTAACTGATTTCAGTTCATTATCTAACTTGAATGCATATATGTTGGAAATGGAGTGTGAAATGAATAAGATTACCAGGTAGATAAGACGTTGTGTAACCTGGCTAGAAAACCTGAGTAAAGTTGTTTTTTTATGTGACGAAAAAAGTTATCACTAAAAGGGATAGACAGAATAACACTGGGAACTGTACTAAGTGTAGATAATAATAATAATAATAATACTATTGACAAATGTAAACTACAAGGAATTACTTAACAAAGCAGAAACAGAAGAAATACTCATATTTTATATCCTAAGGCAGAGTGAAGCAATGTATCTACTTCTTTTTTTGTTTTACACAAAAATCTACCTTTTATTTGATCGATAACCGAAGCTTCTGCTGTCCTAAGAAGATGCTGGGAGTTTGTGTAAACTTAATATACAGTCTTGAAAGCTCTCAGAAGTTTATGTTAAGTGATCCAAATCTTCAGGAAAATTACTCGCGTCTTATTAAAGATCGGAAAAAGTTTATGGTCTGACAACAAATAATATAAAACCATTTAGTGGGCGAATATTTGATCCTATTGATAAGATACGATTAGTCATCATATATTCTTATTGTTATTGTCATCAACCAGTGAACTTTTGAATAGTAGGATGGAGGATCGAAGTGGCTT